CTCCCTTGATAAGGTGACAGACATGGTCACAAACTGCTTTGGGTCTTTTAGTCCTAGTCAAGTCTCCCTGGTAGACGTCCCACAGGGCAGAAATAGGCCGCTGTCCTGCCCAGGCTCTGCCCTAGTTCCAGAAGGGCGAATACTAATACATGCTTGTGGCTCCAAACCACCAAGTTTTATGGGTAGCTGTGCAGATACAAGAGATTATACCCCTACCCCCACCCCAACCCTTTGCCCTTCTGTGACTTCTTTACTCAAATTTGGCCTCTGAAGCTCCTTAGCCACAGCTGATTGGACAAAGGATGAACACCTTACTCTGAGGCAGCCAAGACATTGGTTGGTAGGTGACCAATAAAATTTGTTTCCTTTGAATGAAGAGATAAGAGACTCTAATAAGCCACACTAGGAAGGAGGCTGGAGCTGGGGATTTCCTAAGAGCAGGTGGGGGTCAGGGAGTGACTTTCCGTCTTATATGGGCTGTTGTGTCAGGAGGGCACGAACTCCCTGGTGGGTCTGTGCTGTCCTTGGTTTTGTGGGTTTTTTTTCTGCCTCCTCCCCAGGCTGGCCTTGAACTCACTACATAACTGAGGATGACCTTGAACTCTAGATCTCTAGCCTGTACTCCTGGGATTACAGGTATGTATCGCCACACTTATCTGTGGTAACAGGGATTAGACCCAGGGCTTTGTTTGTGCTACATAAGCACTCTATCAACTGAGCTACATACCAGCCTCTGTCCTCTTGTGTCACAGGGACCCTGACACCAGGGTCTCAAAGCCTCTTGACCAGCTAGTGACAGAACTTCCCCAAGGACCCTGACGCCAGTCAAAGGCCTATCCTGCTTCTTTCCTTTGCTGTCTGTAGCCCTCATTCGTACTCACAAACATGGTCCTGTCCTTCAGGGCCCTGGGTTTGCTCGTTCTGTCCAAGCAGGGAGACTGGTGGCCATGTTCCTACCTCTCTCACAGTTAGGACTCCAGGAGCCCAGTGGAGGGGATGACCAGCTTGGCTTCTAACCAGTTCCACCAAGTCCTACAAAGTCCCTGACACGCCAGCTCCTGGGTTCAGCCCTGCTTGCCCATCAGGCTAATCACAGCAATCACCAGTGTTCCTCAAATCATACAACATGATCTTTATATTCCCAGGTACCCTAAAAATAGGATTCTAGGCACCGTTTAGTACAAGGGTCTCAGTGGTGATAGGATTTGAACCAAAGTCAGCCTGACTCTAAAGCCTGTTATTTACCTGCCTCTGCTGTGTGACTCTGGTGGGTTACTCTCCCTCTCTGAGCCTTATCTGACATTTCAGGGGTAAATAGGAAGAAGAGCTTGTTGTACCGTCTAGGGCTTATCTCCTGGGTGTCAGCTTGGTCTGGTCCATTTGCTTTGTGAGGGTGGTCTCATCATCTTTCTGTCATGCCCTGCTCCTGGAAGTGGCTTTGGTTCCGTTCCCTGGAAAATGGGTGGACACTCAGGATTCCAGATCTTGTCCTCTCTACTCCAATTGCTTCTTACCACTTCTTCCCTTGGTCCCAGGTAGAAAGGTTAGCTGGGTATAGGACTGCCCCCTGCCACATTTGGGATGGCAGGACATCCCTGCAGGGCCACAGGTGCAGACCAGGACCCCAGGATTATGATAGGGTGTAGGGGGCCTCCTATATGTCTCTGGGTTCAGCCTCCAGGCCAGTGCCTGTGCATCCTTGGTGGGGGTCTCCACTGCTCCTGTGTCCCTTCCAGAGGCTGCTGGGCATGGAGACGTAGACTCCTCAGCCAGGTATCCCAGGATGCGCCTTGAGCCCTAGCAGTGGTGTAGACTAGTGCCCTCTTCTACACAAGACACCTTCCACCATGAAAAGAAGCTGTGCCAAGACCTATCAGCCTTCTAGCTTCCAGACCAATCAACCCTGTCCTATGACCCTGGGCACTCCTCTCCCAAACTCTTTCCAACCTGATGGCAACCTAGGAATTTTCTCAAGTCCCCAAGTTTCCTTGGGAACCATTTCTGTCCCAGGAGCCAGGAGTAAATTAGCACCTGGTCCTATTACTCTAGCAGCACCCGAGGCATCCCAGAGATCATGTGACAATTCCATGTGCAGCCTCTTGGAGAGGAAGGATGGTGTACTTGCTCAGCCTCCAGACTGGGCGGCAGAGAGCCTGGGCTCCAGTCTCTCTCAGGAGATGGCAGGCCTGCAGAGCTCTTGAAGCATCATGCAATATGACTAGCATCTTGGATGCAGATCACTACATGCCAAGGACCCTACATAGCCCAGCCTCTCTGGTTGCCCATTGAGTTCTCTTGTCCCTGCATGGCTGAGAAGCCCTGACCCACGCTGAGAAGGTGGTTGCTCTGAGAGTCTGGAAGCAGACCGTGGTCTTGTCACTTGGAGGCTGACTGGCTTCAACTAATCTACTGGTATCCCTGGTCCTTATTCTCTGTGTTTGCACAAAAGCTACATTGGACAGTAATCAGCATTACCACCACTGTACCAGTCATCAAATATACCTCTTCCTCATTGATCCGTCTCACCTACAAAAGCGGTAAGATCAAGGCTAGGGGTGGTGGCACACATCTTTAACCCAGAACTCAGGAGGCAGAGGCAGGTGACCTGTGAGTTCCAGGCCAGCTAGGGTTACATAGTGAAACCTGACTCAAAAAAAAAAAAAAAAAAAAGGGTATTCTGCAGGTGAGGAACTGAGACTCTGAGACTTGGAGGATAATCCTGCCTAGCTGGTGAGTGACAGAATTAGAACTTGAACACAGACATGGCCTTGGACCTCAGAACCTTGTAACTACCTGTCTAAGCTTCCTCTGGGAATCTTCACTGAGTCCTGTAGGAGGTCACCAGAGAGCTCAAGCCTTGTCCAGGGCAGTCCTGGGCAGTGGTTGGGAGAACAGGCTGGGGCAAGGCTGGCCATAGCCTTAGACATCAGCCCAAGCTGGGAGCAGAGCCATGGCAATGATGCCTGAGAAATGAATGAATGAATGAATGAATGAATGAATGAATGAATGAGTAAAGGACTGAGTGTTAATTCCAGGCTCTCTCACCAGTCATGCTGCTCACTCCCAAGCCTTGGCTTGGAGGTGGGAGCCCACTGGATGAGCTGCATTCTGGCAGTTTCTTGATACTGAGGCCTGACCTCCCTATTGCTCTCTGTCCTTGCTCAGCTGGGTCTGTGCCCTTGGTCTCTGCATTGCTAAAGCTTTCCCTTAGCCAGAGGATGAATGGGAGACAGGAAACCCTGAATCCACATAGGGCTGAACAGAAGCTGTCCATAGGAGGACATACCATCTTGGAGTAGAGAGGCCAGGTATCCCTGGCCTATGTCCTCCCTGCCCATAGACATGAGATGTATTGAGTACTAGGTCTGATGACTGAGCTGTGGTTAGCTTTTCAGACAGGGCCCAAGGATTCTTTCTAGGAAAATGACAAACAGACACTATCTTGTCACTCTGTTGCCCAGAGCAACCCTCTCCATGGCTGAGTTGGGAGCATTTAGATTTGGCTTGAACAGTAAGGTTCAGGTGGAGGTTACTATCTGGCTCTCCTAGTCAGCTCATGGGCAGTTGGGTCCCAGATCTAAATCCAAGAGACACTGCCAAACCCAGGATAGACCCAGTGCATGGCCCAGTGAAAGGACTGATAGAGCTGGGTGACAGCCTGTCTCCAGAGTGCCCCAGAATGGCCTCCTACCCTGAGGACTCTACACAGGGAGTAGCAGATAGTCAATAAATAGTTGTGGAGATAAGACTTGGAGAGAGCTGGTACTCCCAATATTGGTCCACAGCCAGGTCAAAGCTGGTCTCTGTCTAGGGGGCCTCCTGGCCAGAGGTAGAAGAATCTACCATGCTCTGTGGAGCTAAAACCCCAACTCTCCAACCCAGACAGCATCCTAGGAGGAGCCTATGGGAGCCCCAAGAGCTGACCCCCTCCCCCAGTCCTGAGCCAAGGGGATCCCACCCCACAGTGAGAGAATAATGACCATAATGAGAGCAGTCACCCACACACATGTGCACAGCGCTTTACAGATTACAAAGTGTTTCACATACATCATCTCATCAATTCCTCACAACAGCCCTGTGAGGTAGGCAGGGCAGGGATAATGTTCCCATTTGTACAGATGTGGAGACTGAGGCTCAGAGAGAGCCAGTGACCTGCTTGAAGTCACACAACAGTGAGCAGCAGAGCTGGGACCAGAGGAGAAGACTCAGGCCTGCCTCTGGCTCCTGACTCTTTCCACTGACTGTGCTGTTCCCCCAAGAGGACCCCAGCCCGTCCTAGTTTCAGCCACACCCGAGCCTGGCCCCACCTCCCCTTGGCAGTGCTGCCTGGCAGCCAGCAGACAGACCCCACCCACACTGGGCTATCCTGTCCCCTCCCCTACTTCCTGCAAAAAAAGCCAGCTAGAGCTGGGTCCTGGAACTCCAAATGATGCCTAGCAGAGTGGGCCAGAGGGTGGGGCTGGAATCTCCTTCCCTGTTTTCCTGAGTGATCCCTCCCCACGGGGGAAGAGAAGAGAAAGGAGGAAGAGGAGGAGGAAGAGAAAACAAGAAACTGAGTTGGAAGGCGGCCCCGGGGCCATCAGGACATCAAAAGTTTGCATTCCGACTAGCTATAGGAAATAGTTTTTTCTTTTTATTATTTCAAGTTTTCATAAAAATCCATAATTATTGAAACCCAAGTTACAGAGGAAGTTTGTAACTTTTTTTTTTTAATTGAATTATTGACTCTGCCGCGTGTTGGTTCCTCGGCTTTGGATTCGCCTGTCAACTCTGGCCCCTGTGCAGGTGGGGTCCTCATGCCTGGCCTTCTGAAGTCCTGGTAGAAGGAGAGCAGGCGGTGAGGGCTGGCGAGGCAGCAGGGGCACGTGGTGGGGGGAGGGGAAGAGTGGGCGAGGAGGGCAGGCAGGAGGTGGGAAGGCCTGGTAGTGAGTGGGCAGCAACCCAGCTCCTTCCCTGCCCAGTTCCGTTGCGGGTCCCTGCGCCCCAACCCCGCCCCGTCCTCATATCATCTTCATGTTGAACTTGCGGGGTGCATCAGCAGAGCTGATGCCTGCGTCCGATTTCCGGGGCACATACTCAATTTCGATGTTGTGCTTTGTGTTGCCTTTGCCCCGGCTCCAGAGAAACAGCAGCACCAGGCAGAAGAGGACAACGCCCAGGAAGGAGATGAAGCCCATGGTGGTGGCGATGATGAGTGTCTTGATGTCGAAGGGGAAAGGCACGGTGGCGCGGGTGCTGTTGGCCTCTCCCTCGCCTGGCTGGTTGGAGATGAAGGCGAACGTCTTGTTGGGCTGATGGGGCCAGTCAGGCGAGTAGCTGCGCACATGCAGGTGGGCAGGCATGGAATCGTTGCCACCAGCATTGGCTGCGATGCACAGGTACGTGCCGTTGTCCTGTACCTGGGCGTAGCGCACCTCCAGCGTGCCATCAGGGAAGACTGTGAGCCGCCCATTGCTCTTAGCTGAGACCAAGTGCTTGCGCGGTGAGAGCCAAAGGATGGCTGGTGGAGGGTCGCCATCCGCCCGGCACACAAACTGCACCGTGTGGCCCTCATCTACAAACACCTGCTGTGCCTTGCGGTCCCGGATGTGGGCCCGGCGGCAGGTGAAGTAGTTGGGCAGGAGTACATCTGGAAAGTCCTTGAACTCCTTGCCCTGCACGAACTCAGGTGTGGCGCAGGTGGGTTGCTGCCTGTTGAAGTTGAGCCGCCAACGGCGCCGGAACACCCACAGCAGTCGGCAGTCACAGGCCAGTGGATTGGAGTCCAGGATGAGCGTCTCCAGGTTGCCCACTGAGTGGAAGGCCGATTCCTCCAGGGTGGTCAGCTGGTTGCCAGAGACATTGAGCACTCGTAGGTAGTTGAGCCCACGGAACGCATAGGGCTCCACCACGGCTAGCTGCCCACCCACCAGCTGGATCTCCTGCAACCGCAGCAGCTCATGCAGCATGGAGCCCTCGATGGTACCGATGGGGTTGTAGGAAAGATTGAGGAAGCGGAGATAAACCAGATGGCGAACGGCCAGATAGGGTACCGCGGTCAGGTTGCAGTGCGTGATGGACAGGGATGTCAGGTTGAGGCCATAGAGGCAGTTGGGGGTCATGGTATCCAGGTAGGGCCAGTGGGAGATCTCTAAGACCTTGAGTCGATACAGCCTCTTGAAGGAGTAGTCCCTGATGGCGTTGATGTTGAGATGTCGTAGCCGCAGGACAATGAGGCCATGCAGGTGGGAAAGTGCCTCAGTGGGGATGGAGGTCAGATTGCATTTCTCCAGAGTCAGCTGCTCCAGGCTGTTGAGGCCGCTGAAGGCTCGATGGGAGATGTAGACGAGGTCGTTGTCGCCAACCTCCAGCGACTTGAGGTTGTATAGGTCTTGGAACATGTAGTCCAGCAGGATGACAATCTTGTTCTCACTGATGTCCAGCTTGGTCAGGTTGCTGAGGCCGGTGAAGACACCCAGCGGGATGAGCTTCAGGCGGTTGCTGCGAAGCCCCAGCGTCCGCAGGTTGAAGAGGTTATTGAAGGCGCCAGGCTCCACGGCGCTTACGATGTTCTCATTGAGCTCCAGCTCCTCCAGGTGTGGGAAGCTGGCGAACTCGTCCTGGTTGAGTGTCTTGATGCGGTTTTTGCCCAGGTCCAGCAGGCGAGTCTCGGTGGGGATGCCCTCGGGCACCGCTACAAAGCGCTTTCGGTGGCAGAGCACTGCTCGGTCCTGCGCTGAGCACTCGCAACGGGGCGGGCAGCCTGTGGCAGAGCCTGACAGCACAGAGCCCAATACCAGCAGGAGGATGGGCTGCCAGCAGGCCAGGAGGGGGCTGGGCATGCTTCTCACGCCCCCCGCCAGCATCCTCTCGCTCACCTGCGGCCGGAAGAAGCACAGGACAAAGGTGACAATGAGCAGGCAGTGCTTGGCTGGACCCCACCTCACCCCCATCCCAGATGGAAAAGTTGCAGAGGCAGAACAGCTCTGTCTCCTTTAGGGGTCACAGACAGTTTACTCTAGGCATGTCCTGAGTCTCAACTCACTCAGAGCCCCATCAGCAATAAAGCCAGTCTTAATTCACAGAGGCTTAAAGGGCTCAAGGCCAGGTTTCTGGGAATAGTCCTGAAGGTGAAGGGAGACCACACCTGGGCCTAGCCCAAAGGGCGAGGGCTCCTTAGGCTTCTAGGCACTCTACCCTGGCAGTTACCATGATACGTTCCACCCAACTCTGCCACTTGATTCCTGGCTGGCCTACAAACCCTGGGTACCTGTAGAAGGCACCAAATCTGTTCCAAGGTGGGGCACCTGAAGAAGCCTCTGCACCTGAAGATCTCACCTGGGGCCCTGTGGGTCCTGTGAGCCCTGGACTACCTCTTCTACAAGGACCTAACCCTGATCAGATCAGCTACTCAACCCAAGGCATGAGTGCTGCCTGCATCCTTGCCATCCTTCCTAGAATGTTGCTTCACTAGACTGTAGAAATCCTGTTTTGAAGACCCAGCTGAACCTGAGAAGACTTACCTGATTCCCGAGATGAAGGATTCCCCCTTTAGAAGTCTATCCATTTGCCTCTCTGGGTTCCCATCACCTCTCCCCACCACCAGGCTCCTCTAGTTACTGGTCTGACCTCTAAGACGAGGATAGGTAGTCTTACATGTGCCCACCCACACTGTAGCACTGAGCGTATAAGACTGGTTAAAGCTGGGTCCCAAGACATGCTGAACTCGGTGGGAGGTGACAGACAGGGTGGGAGACTGCCGGGGGTTGCAAGTGGAGTGAACCCTGCATAGCTCTGCCCTCCCTGGTGCTGCCTGCCTTGCCTTCTGCTCCCTCTGGGGAAACCAGCCTGGAGATGGGGTGGGGAGGAGCCAAGAGGCCTTCAGGGATGCAACAATGCAGTGGCCAGCTGCAGCCTTCTGCCACCAGTGGGATGAAAAAGGCTACAATGCTCATCACCCTTGCTTCTGGCCCTAGTGGCTATACTGCTGCAATCCCGTCCTATACCCATGGCTCTGTGGAGCTTACTGCAAGACTGGGAGGCCAGGTCTGGGAATCCCATCTGTGCCCAGTTTGGGCTTTCCCCCACCCCTTGACACAGCCTCTGCCTTCAAGCCACAATTTGTCATAGCCATCATCCATGCCAACTAGTAAGGCAACTGAGGCTCTGAGAGACTGTGACTGCCACTCAACCAGTAGCAGGGACCAATTTGGATCAAGCTCTGGCTCCTCACACTTTCAAGTGCTCTGCTGGACTTCAGGAACTGACAGGTATTTCCTGGTTGTTGATGTACTAAGTGACTGATTAGCCAGAGAGAACTCATGGTGTCAGTGACATGTTATGGAATCTGCACAGTTTTGTTATCCCAAGGGTCTTGTCTCCCTCCCTCTCCCTCTCCCTCATTCTCTCTCCAGATTCTTCTGTGTCTGAGCATCTCCCTACCCACCCTGCCCCCACAGGACGGTTTTCCACAGTCACACACGCTCCAGTGACCCACCAGAAAAGCAAACATCCTGACAGGCGATCAATAAGTAATTGGGCCAGCAGCTGGGGCTGGTGTGGGTGTGAGGCCGGGGACTTCAAGAGGTGAACAGGACTTTTAGCACCCATCTCAGGCCTGGGCTAGCCTGGGAGCTGCCAGAGGAGGCTGGAGAAGAGAGAAGGGAGGAATAAGGCCGCCGGGATGTTGGCAAAGCCTTCTTGCACACATGCACAGCACCCGTGTGTACAGCAACCACCCGCCTCATCTCCCACCCCACAGCGCCGCGCTGGAGCCTCCACTTTGTCCTGCACACCCTGCCTCTAAGCCGTCTCATTTTGGAGAACTGTCCCAGCTGCCTTTCCAGCCTTCTACCCCAAAGACCACCTCCTCCATGAAGTCCGCCCCGGGTCACTAAGATGTCAACACTTGCCTACGACACAGACACACTTGATTCTTCCTAGCAGTGGCATGTGACTGCTGTGTGGCTCACCCCATTCCAAATGACAGCTGGACCAACTGAGAGAAAAGTTAAGGCACAAGAGGATGATGACAAGCAGCTGGGAACAATGCCTGCCCTGCATAAATAGAGGGGAGCATCCTGGCGGCTAAACAAAGAGGGAAACACGCTCTCCAGCCACCATGTGATGTATGTTCAACTCTGGGCCACACTGCCACTGTCCCAGCTCCATCTGTCTCACCCGCCATAGTGAAGTGCTCAAGAACACACGCTGGTGAACGTTCTTTGGGAGGCAACTCGTGATCAAGAGGAAGTTGTTGTAGGTAGTGGAAACCCCTCTGCCGGGGCTGACCTTAGTGCAGGCCCACTGAACAATGAAACCTGGGGTATGGGCAGCCTTGCCTTGTAGAGCTACCACCCCAAGCCAGGTAGTTCACCACCGAGCAACGGCCATGCAACATGAGGTCAGGAGAGCTCCCATGTACACATCCTCTGAATTGTCTTGTGTGAGCACGTGTGTGTGTGTATGCCCATACATGTATGTGCTCATGCGTGTGGAGGCCAGAGGTCAACATCACATGTCTTCCTCTACCACTTTTCACCATAGTTTTTGACACAACATCTTTCACTGAGTCTGGAGCTTACCAGTTCAGCTAGACGGGCTGACCAACAAGTTCTAGGGATCCCTGTCTCTGCTTCCCCAGCACTTGGATTATAGGTAAACATCACTGTACTTGACATTTTATGTGAGTGCTGGAGATCTGAACTCCTGTTTGCGTGGCAAGCATTTTACAGACTTAGCTATCTCCTCAGCGCATTGTTCTTCGTCTTTTACAGATGGCTGTCCCGGAAGGTAGGGAAACCTAAGGCTCTGAGAGGCGATGATGCCTGTCCACACCAGCATAACAGACAGCAGAGCATCTTGGCTATAGCCTCCTACACTCACATCCCCACGGGGGTCCTTGCCATTATAACATGTTGGGGGGGTCTGAAAGGGTCGCCAGGGCTGCTAAGCGGGCTATGCAACTCATCTCCAGGCAGTCTAAGGCTGCCCCTGTACTTTCCACGGTGCTTTATGTTTTTTAATCAGTGTTTTAATTCAGATGCTTGACCCCCTGAAGGGCTTCTCATGAGGGCAAGAATTCAAAATTGGAACAATAAACACAAAGAAAATAAACATCAAAGACAAGCAGGTGGCAGGCAGAGGATAGCAGTGCCCAAGGCATGATGCCCAGATCCTGTAGCGGCCTGAGTCTTCCCCAAAGCAGGGCTGGGGAGGCAGCTGAGCCATCAGTTTAGTTCAAGATGAGCCTCTGAGCTGTCCACAGTAGGGATGGGTGGGTTGCCAGCCACCACCCACACCTTCCCTCATGTCCCAGGGCAGATATGGCCTGGCTCAGACAGTACTGCTTGACACTGGCCATTTGAAGTCCTCTGTACCAGCCTGTTGGATGCCCTGGGCAATGCCTCCTCTTCCTGGCCTATGTACCTCACTGAACAGACACTGGGTTTCAGAGTGTCAGGGAACTGACACACAAAACGCTAAACAGTCAAACATCCTGGGCTGGGGACAGAGAGTGAGCTGAAGACCTGAGCTGAAGTTTCATCAGGGCTGGGAGGATCCCTGTGAGGGTGGCCCTGCGTTGCTCAGCTCTCCTGATTGGAGAGTCACACTGGGACTCTGGTGGGGAGGACAACTGGTGGCAAAGGAAAGGGTGTGGGATTGCTTGTGCATGGGATGGGGTTATGTTGTCCCATAGGCAGCAGCATCTGGTGGCACTTGGGTGCAGCTCTTAGCCAGGCCCATAAGCCAGTTAGAGGCCTGTTCAGAGAAGGGGAGGGACTAACACTAGGTAGCCCCTTTATACACTGCCTCACAGACCCTGGAGACGGGCCTCCCAAGAGGCATTCCTCACTCATTTTTACAGTTGAGAAACCGAGGTCCAGGAAGGGAACTCACTTGTGCCAGCATGAGGCCATGGCCAGGAGGTGAATCTTAGGAGAGCCAGCTGCCTGGTGTGTGTGTGTGTGTGTGTGTGTGTGTGTGTGTGTGTGTGTGTGTCTGTGTGTTTGTTTGTGTGTCTGTGTGTGTGTCTCTCTCTTTTGTCTCCTGGGGAAGAGAGAAGCTGCTGGTCCTCAGAGAGCCATGTTCAGGTGTTTAGCCCTGAGGTAGATGGGGATACCTGCTATGTGTTCAGTGACTGTCCATGAACCCATGCCCTTGTCTGGACTCAGGTCTCCCCTCATTTGGGGTGAGCTGCAGCATGGGTGGATGGCTTAGTTATGCTGGGCTCTCTGCATCAGTATTTCATGTGATCCCACTTAGCATTCCCCAGGGATGGCAGTCCCCTTGTGTCGCCCCTGCTCCCCCCAGGAAGGGTTTTTGCACAAAACTTTTGCTATATGAGGCAGGGCCTGGGCCCTCTGAGCAACAAAGCTTTGAGATTCTTAGGCTGGTAGGTGGCCTGGATACTTCCTCTCTGGGAACAAGGCTGGCGACCTGAGGTCATGATGCCTTGAAGCCCACTGTTCCCACAGCTGGGTCAGTGGCAAAGCAAGCTGGCTAGGGAATCCCCAAAGTGCTCAAGCCCAGACTCACTGTCAAAATGGACCATGTGACAGACCAAGTGCATGAACAAGAGAGAGGAGGATGACAGAGTAGAGGCCCATGGGGTTTCATAGGATGAGGAGGCAAAAGAGAAAGAGAAGCAGGAGGTGGGTGAGAGGTTGGCACAGGGACAGGGAAGTGGCAAAAGTCAGGGAGTGGTCCAGGCTTGGTGACATCCCAGCAGTCCAGAGGCAGGGGCAGGTAGATCTCTGTGGGTTCCAGCCCAGCCTGGATGACACGGTGAAACCCCTCAAAAAAAAATGGAAAAAATAAAAACTAGATGGGGCCAGAGCCTGTATGCTAATCCAGCCATTTGGCTCCCTCCTCA